AATGTATTAATGATAACTAACTTACCTCATCATATTTCCATTTTGTAAATAAATGAAAACAAATTCCTTCTCTTACTCTACCAGCTCTACCTTTTCTTTGCTTAACGTTAGTTTTTGATATAAACATTTCTTGTAAATTAATAATCTTCTTTGTTTCATTATATCTAATTTTAAATAAATATAAATATATACGTATTTTTTTTTATTTCTAGGTTTAAACAAAATTCCTCACCTTATCTGATTAACCTTTCCTGTATCAATAACAATGGTAACATCAGAAATAGTGATTCCCGTTTCTGCAATATTAGTTGCCAAAACAATTTTTCTAATACCTCTTGGAGGTATATCAAATACCATATTTTGATTTTCTGAACTTATGGTACTATGTAATGGATAAATAAAAAATCTTGATGTATCACTAAAATTTCTATCTGATAAAATTTGATCGTGTAATCTCCTAATTTCCGCCATTCCTGGTAAAAATATTAGTATAGCCCCATCTTCTGGTATATAATCAATTCGCTGTTGTACTTCAGAATTACAAATATAGTTCAAAAGAAAAACTATAAGATCATAGTTTATGCATGTTTCATCAATACGTGATAAAACTAATCGAGTATTCTTTGAATATTTTTCTAAATCTCCTTCAGGAACATTTAAATCTGCGTATGAATTGTAAACATCATCTTCATATTGCAATCGAACTGTGTGAGAAGTTTGTTTATGACCTGTAATTGTTACCGTTCCTTCATCTTTTTTTAAGAATGGAAAAATTTAAAATTAACTAGAAAGAAAATTTTGAAATTATAAATCTGAATTATTATATACCTCGAATTTGTCTATAAACTTTCTTTGCAAATTCATCACCTTCATCAATTGTATAACCTATTCATGAAAATCATAAAGATTAAGTATTATATCTTTTACAAAAAGAAAAAAAAAAAACTTTATAATTACCTGTTTCTTCAATGACATCTTCAAGAAATTTATCTTTAACGGGAAAGGTTCTTCCAGGAATTTCAATTACAGGACAATTATTAAAGTATTTAGAAAATTTTGATGTATCAACTGTTGCACTCATTAATATAATTCTACAATAAGTTTTTTTTTTTTTTTAAAAAAAATATATATATATATTAATTAAAATAAAATTTAACACTTTTTTTTTATATAAAAAGGAAAATTTTTACTTCAAATCACTCCTCCATTCCAATATTTTTTTCAAAATAATCAACAAGAAATCTGAATCCAAACTTCTTTCATGCACCTCATCAATAATTACATGACTGACGTTGTCTAGTAGTTTATCGCTCTCTAATCTTTTCAATAATATACCCTAAAATAAACAAAAAAAATTTTTTTTTTAATTGCCTTCCCAATTTTTGAATAAAATTTGTTTTAAAGCCTATTAACTTACATAAGTGCAAAACGTTAAAATGTTTCCTTTGGAAGTTTTTGATTCTAATCTAATTTGATAACCAATTAATGCTTTAAAAGTTCCAATAGTTCCTGGTAGATCACCGATTTCTGCAGAGACTCTGTGTGCTATTGAGATTGCTGAAATTCTTCGCGGCTAATTATAGTTAAATTGATTTATCAATTACAATCTAAAAAAAGGTTCATAAAGGAATAAGCAATAAATACACACCTGAGTACAAATAATATTACACTTATTTCCATATCCACTCAATAACATATGTTCAGCTATAAATTGTGGTATTTGTGTGCTTTTACCACTGTTAAATTTCCAAAAACGTCTTAATAACATCATTTTGAATAAAATATTCTGTTAATTATTTGTTAAAGATTACCATCCAGTCTCTCCAGATACAACTACTACTTGATTCCTATCCAATATCTTCAAAAATTCATTTCTCTGTGAATAAATAGGTAATTGTTTTCTTTTATCCTATATCATTAAAAGTTTTTTTTTTTTTTAGTAATAATTATTATTATTGTTATTTAAATTATCGTTATTTATACAAAATTTACTTACTAACATATCCATACATGCTTTATTTTTTTGTCTATTTAAGAAAGCTTTCTTCATAGCTTCACCTTCACTATTTACATCATCTTTCCTTAAACTAGATACCTGATTGTTATGAAATACGGATTGTTCTTGATTTGACTCTTCGAACGAAACATTAGATAAATTTCCTTTTACCTAAAAAATATAATTCAATAATTATCTTGCAAATTATTGTTTTAAAAGTATATATATGTGTGTATATGCTATAACTTACGAAGATTTCTTCCTTTTTTTTTTCTTCCACCACGTCAATCAAGAACTTTATCCTTTCTTTTTGTTCAGCCAACTTGATTTTATTTTGAGCAGATTTTTTTTCATTTTCCAATTCTAACCATAAATCTCTAAAACAAGAAGGAAATGCTGTGTATATCGGGAGATCTGTTAATTCAAACAACGCTAATGTAGAAATATAGTTCTCCGCTTCTATCTTGGTTCGGCATGCAACATTTTCCATATTCCATTCTTTCTTCTGTCCATCACTCCACTGAATCAACAAAAAGTATTTATAAAGTTTTTCACCACTCGATGCTTGATCCTTAACAAAACTAATCTTTACTTGGATATCCTTACTTAGGCAAAATTCTTGTAAATAATCTTTAGGTAACCTTCCTGTATTTGTATTAGATAATGACATCTCTATAATTGTTAATGAAGTATGAGTTATATTAGAAGAAACTGAATTGTCCGGAACATTATCCAATAATCCACCAAATAAATCTCCATTTTCTCCATCACTTTTTTCTTCCATTGTAACCTTTTCTTGATCCTTTGCTTCCGTTTTATCTTCATCAACCTGATTAGATTTATAATCTCGTTCTTTATCTTTTTCAAAATCATCACTCAAAATTTCTTTAGCTGCTTCGTCTAAATCTTTAAATTTTATCAACTTATTAAATTCTATTCCAGCTTCATTCTTATTAAATTCATCACCTTTCTCACAACTTTTCATTTCTTCCTGTAATTCATTAATTCTTTGAAAAGTCTGTTTTTGTTTAATTTGGTTACTATTTGATTTCTCTAAAACAGACAAAACTTTTTTTTGTAAAATTAGTTCACATTTTAGTTCAGCATGTTTTTTTGTTGGAGAAAATAGTTGACAAGTTACAGTAGGTTCGGGTCCTGAATCATCTGATGCCTAAGAAATGGCTTAAAATATGAGTAAAACAGGACAGGACATAAAGAATATAAAGAATAAATCAAATATTATACATCATTTTGATATCTATCCAAAATCCATTCCTTCATGTCATTTTCAATTGCAATAGATGGTTTTTTTTTTCCCATACTTATCTTTTTTTTTAAAAAAAAGAAAATATTCAATTCCTTTTATATTTCAAATAAATTAATAAAATAAGATTAAAATAAAATAGTATCAACCTTAGAGACTTCATCCCCTTTTTTTATTTGTGATTGATGTGATTCGAATAATTTTGAGGTTGTTTGTCTTAAAACCGAAACATTCATCTCTTTGAAGATTTGAAAAAATAAAATAAATTATTAATAAGTTATTATTTGAATTAGAAACAAAATTAAAATAAGTTGCCTTGTTCATAATAAATCTTATCGACAAATCTAGCTGGTAAATTTTCCGAGGGTAAATGAATGCACAACTAAAATTAAATAAAATAACGTAGATTAACTAATGTGAAAATGGAAATATATAAATATATCTTTTTTTACATCTTGATTGATAATATTATACCCAATCTAAGGCATCTTTAACATCCATTCCATTGGTTTTTCTTAAACAATCTTTAATATTTTCATGTGAGAAACCGAGACGTAATAAAATTAAATAAATCCTATTTAAAGTTGAGATTATATGCTCTCGAGTCAAAAGATTATCAGCATACAAATTCTTAGATGAAACTAAATAATAAATATATATTAGAAATAAAATTCAAGCTAATATCTAGAGAAAAAAAATTATTTTTCCGTATACCCTACCTAATTCTTGATATCCCACTTCTTTAATAAAGTTTAATATCTTATGCTCAATCTTACTATCAAGACCAAAAACTTGCATTATATTATCATTAAAAGCTCGAGAATCTTTAAAATAAGCTTCAACTTTAATTAAATCTAAATCATTATAATCCTCGATTAATGAATTAATGTAAGATTCTTCTTCATTCACATTTTCTTCGATAATATCTTTTTCAATTGGCTCGAGAGAAATTACTGGTTCTGTTGTTGAAGAAACTTGAGATTCAAGTTCATTTTTTAATATTTCTTTGTTTTTTGAGGGTGTACTTGTCGTAGCATATCCTCTTGCTAGAATTTTTTTCTTCTTTGATTTAGCCATATATATAATTATAACGAAAAAAATAAATTATATTTTTTCTTGATTTGGATGATTTTTCTCATTTTGGAAAAATTAAAATCTGCGCAGCAATAAATCAATGTAAGTGATACAGATTTACTGTGCATGATCATATTTGACATATTTTTTCCATTATTAATATCACTGTCCATTCATTGATTAAGAGACGTGGCGTAGCTCGGAGAAGTCAATAATTCGGATCACGAATTTTGAATCATTTGTATCGTAATAGGTTATTATCGCATCATTCATAAGTTTAATATATCATTGATGTTTTTTTAATAATGTATCTAGTCATATTAATATGATTCATCATATTTTTCTCATGTAAATTACGATCATGCGAATAATTTTCGTTCCGTCATAAAAAAATATAGTAACTGACATGGATAATAAAAATCATAAAGTCATGCCGTTATTTCAAAACCAAATATAAAGGCATCTCTTTTCGCATAATTTTCCCTCATAACTTTCTTGTCGATTACTAAGACAAGGCTTCCATATTACTTTAAATCCATTCCATCAACAATTACTTGCCAATTATCTCTATACATTATAACAACTCTCATTTCGCAATATATTTGATACTATTATAAAGTATCCATTCTTTCACGATTTGTATAGGAAAAACATATCATTCTCAAAATGTCAAAACGAGGTCTCTCGACGAGTTCACAAATTGATTTAGAGTTAGAGGTCAAGAAAGTTAAACCTTTGGATATTAAAGTTGCGGTTGAATTGCAGATTGCCAACCGTCCCGGCCTCGGAAAAGTCGGAAAACATATCAAATTAAATACAAATCATCTAAAGGTCGCTACTTTGCCTCATACGACCATTTTCCATTACAATTTTGTTGTTGATCCATCAGTCAGACCTCCACTTGCGTTTAAGATCTTTTCGACTATGGCTTTTCAAAATTATTTTGGTGACATCATGCCTATCTATGATGGAAATAGTTCTATTTATTGTCTCTCTCCGTTACCTTTTAATGATGAAGGGGAAATCAAGGAAGTATGTATCAGATAATGATGATGTTTTGTGAAAATCTATGAGTTTAATTTTACTATATTGTAATTATTCTTGTAGGTCTCTCTTGAGGCAGATGGTTCTCATAGGAAAAGAACATTTCACATTACCATTCGAAAAGTTGATGACGTAAATCTGGAAAGATTATCGAATTATCTTAAAGGCTCCATTCCATTTACCGGTGAAATTCAAACTTGTGTTTCATTATTAAACACAGTGTTGAATTATAAACCGAGAAATGCCTTTGCTGTTGTCAAGCGAGGCATTTTCCCGGAATCTGAGGATCGACCGAGGTACCTGTATGGAGGCCTTGAATTGAAAACGGGTTTCTGCCAATCAATGAGACCTGGTTGGGGTAAAGATTTCATTCATTTTACAAATAAAAAAGATTCTTTCATATGCATTGATTCAAACTTTTACTAGGACATATGACTATAAATGTTGATGTATGTGCAGCTGTTTTTTATCCTCACGGCTCCATGTTGGACTATGCCGCAAAATTTTTGGGTAAACGTAACATTGATGAATTAAGATTTGGAATCAATGATAACGAGCGAAGAAATCTTGAACGCGTAATTTTCTAGATTTTTAAAATAAAACAGTTGAACTTTGTATAATTATTAACTTTGTATATTTAATGTATATTTTATATTTCTTTTATTATTGTCATATAGGGTATGAAAGGACTAAAAGTCAAAGTTATTCATCGGGGAGAGAAAAATCCAAAATATAAAATCGAGCGTTTATCAAGCAAAGCTGCTGATTATACAATTTTTATGAATGACAAGGAAGGTGTAGAAATGAATGTAACTGATTATTTTGCGCGAACATATAATCGCTATTTGGAGTTCAAATCTCTTCCTTGCATAGTTGTAAAGAAAAACTTGTTTATTCCAATGGAGGTCTGCAACGTCCTACCTGGTAGGTATATTAGGTACTTAAAATCCTTCGGTTTTACTTTAAGTTTTAATAATTTCCCTCTTTATAAATATTTAAAGGTCAAAAATATGATAAAATGATCGGAGATAGAGCTAAAGCAGACATGATCAAATTTACGGCCTGTAGACCTCAAGAACGTTTCAGCCAAATAGAGAATTGTATTCGAAACGTTTTTAAACATGATGACGATGAAAATCTTCGTGATTTCGGAATTAATATCGATTCTAAGATGATGATTATTGATGGTATTCTGTTATCCTTAATTATGTTCTTCAATTCATGGATGTTTCATGAATTAATATACTAAGTCAATTTATTTATTTTTATAGGAAGAATTTTGAAATCTCCGACAATATTGTTTAATGCTAATAGTAAACAACAAAATCAGTTTACTTCTCAAAATGGACGTTGGAATCTCAGAGATCTTGTTTTACTTAGAGTAAATTTTTTTTCTCTTTCGTTTAGTCTATTTATAAAATCGACAAAATTGTTTTTTGACCATTCTTTTGTTTAAATTCTCCACAGACAAAACCATTGCACAACTGGTCGGTTCTTATTTTGTCTGACAGAAGGACATCTCCTATTGATCAAGTGAAAAGATGTATGTCAGGATTAAAACAAAAATTGGTCGAATTCGGAATGGTAGGAAATCTTGAATACCTTTAATTTTATTAATATTCAAAAATAAATTCAAATATCTCTTTTTAATTGTTAGGAAGTTCGAAATGATCCTTATGTAAATTTTGGAAATCAACAGGGGAATATTGAAGCTGTAAATAAAATTATTATTCATTACTATATCAATATTTCCTTTTATTAATTCCCTTATTATTTAAATTTATTATTTTTAAGTCAATACAAGTTGCTGTTCAAAAGGCCCATATCAATAAATCATTTCCACCTCAGTTAATAATTGTGATTATTCCAAGAAAACCATCTCCACTTTATGGTGAAATTAAAAAGGTTGCCGACACTAAAATTGGAGTCGTAACTCAGTGCATTCTTGCCGACAAATTGCGTAATCCGAACAACAAGTCTCTATGGGCAAATGTTGGTTTAAAAATAAATGCCAAGTTAGGCGGACATAATTGTAATCTCATTAAAGAAGAACTTTCGATTATAGGAAATATCCCTGTAAGTACATTAAAGTAATTTGAATTTGATTTGTTAGTTTTGAAATATTATAATTTTATAATTTTTTTTTTTTTTGATTAGACGATGATCGTTGGAGCGGATATTTCTCATCCTGGAATTGGACAAAAGAATCAACCTAGCATTGCAGCAGTTTGCGCATCCGTTGAACCAACTGCAACAACATATTACGGTAGAGTGAGTGTCAACAAGCAAATCCGTAATGAAACAATAGAATGCCTTGGAGATATGATATCTGATTTATTAAAAGCATTCTATGAGAAGAATAAAGTTCTTCCAAAAAGAATGATTTTTTATCGAGACGGTGTAAGTGAGGGTCAGTTTCGCGGAGTACTTAACAGAGAAGTAATTGCGTTGAAGAACGCATTTAATAAAATTTATCAAAAGGATCCTCCAAAATTAACTTTTTTGATAGCACAAAAAAGGCATCATACCAGGTATTAAAAACGTTGATATTAATTACTTTTGAATTCTTTAGAAAGGTAATGAATAGTTTTGGGTTTTTTTTTAGATTTGCTCCGGTAAATAGAGGAGATGCGGATAAATTGGGAAACTGTACCCCTGGAACTGTCGTGGATCAGTCAATCGTTCATTGTAATGAATTCGATTTTTGTAAGTGATTAAAAAAAAAAAAAAAGAATTTTGTTGTTATGTTGGTTTTAATAATTTATTTTGTATAGATTTGCAATCTCATTCTGGACTTCAAGGAACAACGCGTCCAACTCATTATTATGTTTTGTATGATGAAAATAAATTTGACGCCGATGATATTCAAAATTTAACTTATCGATTAAGTTATCTTTACGCTAGGTAAAAATATGAAGGAATAATATTTTGATATTATGTGGTAATCAAATATGATGTTAATTATTCGAATGTTACGATTTAGATGTTCTTCGGCAATATCTGTGGTGCCTCCAATCGCTTATGCGCATCTGTTGGCGGCACGCGTTCGACTTTATCCAACAGGTGAATCACCTGAAGAAAAAGATTGTGGTGAATCGAGCAATTTGAGTGAAAGCACATTTTCTGTTCCTCCAGTTTCCAAAGAATTAGCCAAAGTTATGTATTTTGTTTAAACGTGGATAATAATATGTAGTAAATACTATCATATGGCGTCAGACTTTTTTGACATCTAACATATTTGTAATCTAGCATATTTGTAGTTAAATACAGTATATTAATGTTACAATAAAAAAAAACACTAGCTTTTTACAATGAAATATTCATACATTAATCTCCTTTTCTTACAAAATCGTACTTTTTAAATAATCTGAGAAACAAAGAATCAATGTTTAGTCGTTAGCTTTACACTCAACAAAATAATATGATTTCAGGTTAACCATCTATTTCAGTCAGTAGAGTAACTCCATTAAATTAACAGGTCTAATCACTTCCCAATGTGAAATAGTGTTCATGTGTTTTGGATTTTATTAGCATATGTTTATGATATAACGAAAAAATTAAGCTAATTTATAGTTACGCCAAATTTGATCAATCTAAAAATATTTATGTAAATCAAGATAAATCCCAATCAATTTTGTGAAGTGCATTTTTCAAGATCAGCAACCATCTCTCTCCCAAATCTTCTATTAAAAAATTTGTTACGAAAATGAGTTTACTTTTACCTTTATTCTTGCGAAAATCATCTCATCATTATCAATCAATACCAGAAAGTAATCAACATATAGAACAACACTTTGAATCGCCTGAAATTATTAGAGATATTGTTCTTGGATTAAGTGATGGATTAACGGCAAGTTATTTTAAATAAGCTTCTACAATGTACAAATAGTTGATTAGGTCTTGAAAATTTTGATTATTTTTTTTACCTTTTTTTTTCCTTTTTTTGGATTTTCTTTATTAGGTACCATTTGCTTTGGCAGCTGGATTATCTTCTTTGGGAGATCCTCGTGTCGTTATTATTGGAGGCTTTGCCGGTACGTTATTATTCTTTGGGAAGATTTATATCTCCGTATAACCTATTTCCATAATTAAGATTTGTTTAAATCTAGAACTTATTTCCGGTTCGATTTCAATGGGATGTGGTGGATATTTGGCAGCGAAATCTGATTTAGATCATTATGATACTGAAAGACGTCGGGAAGAATGGTAGTTTATTTAATTTCAAAAATTTTCATTTTTAAAAAATAATTGATTTTTCAATGAAAAAAATTTTCAGGGAGGTGAAAAACTGCTTAAGTGCCGAAATTCAGGAAATTGTCGGTTTGTACATATACTTATATATATATCCTTGTCGATAAAAAAAGAACTAAAGCTTTTAATTAAGGAATTCTATAAATGCTTAAATAGATATATTGTCACCTTATGGATTGGATGAAGCAACTGTGGCTCCAATTATTGAGAAATTAAAAGATAATCCTGAAAAATTTGTTGATTTTATGATGAAATTCGAATTGAATCTTGAAAGACCCGATCCTTCTCGTTCTTTGGTGAGTCTTTATAATTGTTTATCTTCTAATAAAATATCATTAATTTTTATTTATTTTTAATTTATCACAGAAAAGTGCGTTTACGATTGGAATATCTTATTTTATTGGTGGTCTTGTTCCTCTAATACCATACTTCTTTATTGAAGATACAACTTTAGCTTTATTATTTAGTAGCGTTATTACAATATTTTGTTTAATTGTATTTGGGTTTGTTAAGGCTGCGTATACATCACCAAATAACGCATTATCAAGTGCAATACAAACTGCGCTAGTAGGTGCTTTAGCAGCGGCAGCTTCTTATGGAGGTGTAAAGTTGGTCGAAGGTTTGTAAATATATTTAAAATATTAGCCTTTTTATATTTCGTCTTCAGACGTGTTAACGAGAAGCATTTTTTCCCGTTTTTTCACTTTTTTTTTTCATATAATACATAGTATTAACGGATTAATTTTATCATTCAAATTATATCTTTACCTTTACGAAGTCAATTAAATGCATCAATCATAATTAATAAAGTAAAAAATGCTTTTGAAAGCATAATTTGTATTTTCGTCTGTCTTCTGCGCGGATTACTTAAACATACAGTGAGACCTCTCTAAATGCACCCCTCTTAGGACCATAGTGAAAATTTAAAAAAATGTGCATTTAAAGAGAATTTGCATTTAAAAAGAAAATTTTTGTGTGATCTTTATATACTTTGGGCTGTGTGAAGTGTGCATTTATAGAAAAAAATATATAATGCGTAGGGTGCATTTAGAGAGTAAATTATTGTCGATCCCAAGCAATTTTTTTGCATATACATAGAAAATTTTTCGTATTTATATCGCGTCAAATTATTTAATAAAAAAAAAATTATCACAAAAATGACAGATTTTCCAATTTTAAAATCCAAAATAATTCAAAATGAAGCGTATCATGAAAATTATAAAGAAATGCTTTCAATGATTTCTACATTAAATGATCGACTGGCTCAAGCAACAAAACAAGGCAGTAAAAAAGCAATAGCGCAACATTTGAAAAGGGGACAATTATTAATTCGTGATAGAATTGATCTTTTATTAGATGAAGATTCTCCTTTCTTGGAATTATGTCCATTTGCAGGATGGGGTCAAAATGAAATGACACTAGGTGGATCAATAGTAGCAGGTATAGGATTAGTAAATGGAGTGGAATGTATGATATCAGGAAATGTACCAACGTTATTTGGAGGTTCTTCAAATGAGATTAGCGTTGCAAAAGGGGCAAGAATAGCATCAATTTCAATAGAAAATAATTTACCATTTATACAATTAATTCAAACAGGAGGTGCAAAATTAGATCAACAATCAAGAGTATTTCATCCGGGTGGTGGACAATTTCGTATGTTGTCCCAGAGGACGAAATTGAATTTACCAACTTGTAGTGTAGTATTTGGTAGCAGTACAGCAGGAGGAGCTTATGCTCCTAGTTTAAGCGATTATGTTATTATGGTAAAAAATCAGGCTCAAGTATTTCTCGGAGGTCCTCCTCTTGTACAAATGGCAACCGGTGAAATCGTTGATGCTGAAAGTTTAGGTGGTGCTGATATGCACAGCAGGAAATCAGGTGTAAGTGATCAATTAGCTTTAGATGAATATGATGCTATTAAGAAAGCGAGAGAATTTATTGGAAGATTGAACTGGCATAAGAAAGGGAAAATTCCCGCTACTCATCTTTTCCCTAGGATTGAAGAACCTTTGTATGATGCCGGTAGGCACATTTTGAGAATTAGTAAATTTTTTTTCTATAAAAAAAAAAAATTGATGGTTTATTTATCTATTTTTCTTAAAGATGAATTACTAGGAATTGTTTCGGCAAATATTAAAGTTCCTTTTGACGCCAGTGAGGTGATTGCTCGCATAGTTGATGGCTCAAGATTTACTACTTTTAAATCGCTATATGGAACGAATATTATTACAGGATGGGCTTATGTTCATGGTAAATTTTATTGGTACTGGAAAGAGATTATTGTAATTTCAATTTGTATTCAATCTTTTGAATCTTTTTCAGGGTTTCAAATGGGCATTATTGCGAATAATAATGTAATATTTACACAAGAAGCTAATAAAGCAGCACAATTTATTAGATTATGTAATATGATGTAAGTCGATACCTCCCTTTTTTTTAAAAAAAAAAATCTAAATCGATATCAAATTTTTACGATTTAGGAATGTACCACTCCTTTTCCTTCAAAATACTACAGGATTTATGGTAGGAAAAAAATATGAAGAAGAAGGTATTATAAAAGCTGGAGTGCATTTTGTTAATGCTGTAAGTAATAGTGAAGTACCGGCTATTACAATTATGATGGGTGCTTCTTATGGTGCCGGTAATTATGCAATGTGTGGAAGAGCTTACAATCCGAGGTAATGAAATTTTAAAGTATAATCCAATTAATATAATAATTCTATTTTCAATATTGTTTTATCCTATTTTCTATAGGTTTCTATTTTCGTGGCCAAATAGTAAATGTTCCGTTATGGGACCTGATCAATTAACTGGAGTTATGGATATTATTATGAGAGAATCTTCTTCAAGGTATGTCATCATGAAAATTAATAATTTACAAGTTTTAATTTAATTAAATTTATAACAATTAATTTAAATTAGATCAGGTAAACCAATAGACGAAGAATCAGCAGCAGTAAGAAAAGAAAATTTTCGGTCAATGGTAGAAAATGAGTCCGATGCTTATTGGACAAGTTCAAGATTATTAGATGATGGTATAATTGATCCTAGAATGACTAGAGTTATTTTAGGATTTTGTTTGAGTATTATTTATAATGAACAAGTCAAAGGTGGTGGTTTAGGTGGTGTAAGTAGAATGTAAATATGTATAATATAAAAGAGCGGAATATTATTTAAAAACAAAAATAATTCTGTATTTAAATAACTTAAATGAAATCAAACCTTAATTCGGTTTGATCGAAAGACGATGTTAAAAGGTTTTAAGAAATGACCTTGGCTTGGTTTTCTAATTTTTACAAAATGTATTACCATTAAAAAGCCAAAAATCGTCAATAGAATTTATTTTTATCATCATTCTAATACTGTTTTGATCAATGTTTCCTTTTGTTGCTTGTTTGCTATCTTGGCATTTGGAAAAAGATTTTTTAAAATAAGTAATAATTAATTGAAATAATTTAATTAAAAATTATTTGATTTTAATCATTCACTCTTTTGGCCTCAATAATTCTATAATGAACTGCTTCCTTAGTTCTAAAAACATGGGAAACGGCAGTTTTCAATTCAGGGATTTTCAGCTCTAATTCCTCTTTAGATGCTTTTAATACTTTATTCTCTATCTCAAACACTTTCTTTTCTTGTCTTTCAACTCTCAATCCCTCATTTCTATCTCTTAATTTCTTACTCAAATTTCATTTGCTTCCAAACAGTATTTTAAAAATCCATTGTTATACAATTTTTTTGTTAAAATTCTAATGATAATTTTTAATAATTAATTATAAATTTAAATATAAAAAACAATAAAAATTCTTTTACTTGAATTGTTCTTTTTTTCAAAAATAGTTTAAAAAGTTAAAACTAATATAATTATATTTTTTAATAATTATTTTGATTATAGTAATCAAAATATTTATTTTTTATTTTTAAAATAATCAATTTTAAAGTTATTTATACTATAAATCAAAGTATTTTATATATATTAAAAATTATATAAATAATTGTAATAAATAAAAGTAAAAAAAAAACTCTTGTTTCTAATATTTTTATTCAAATACTTTAATAATAATAATAAATTTTCAAAAAAAGTTAAAATACAAAATACAATATATAGGAGATTTATTAGTTTATGCAAACTTTTATTAATATTCTAGTAGAAACATACTAATATAATTGATATTAAACAACTCAATTGAAAATGTTATTAATAACATTTTATTTAAACAACTTTAATTATTTTTAAAAAAAACTTATAATAATCAGAATTATAATATCACTGAAAATATACTTAATAATTTAAATAAAAAAATAAATACATTAATATTATATATTTTAAAAATCTAAAAAATTACCTTAATAAAGCAAATAAATAAATGATATATATATATATATATATTAGGAATGTTAAACAGTCCTAAAAATTCCAATAAATTTGCTAGTTCTAGAGAAGATTTTTATTTTACTGGTGTTATATTTACTTTTTAATGATAATTTGATAATTGAATATTTATTAAAAATATATATTAAACTTATGCAGGAATCCAGAATCTAATTTTTGAAACTTAGGATCCAGTCCTAAGGATCAGATCCCACCTTAATGGTTCTATATTAATTATTAATTCTAATATTCATATTTCTTTTATAAATTATTCATAAAATTTATTATTACAATTATTTATTAAGAGTTACTTATTATAGATAAGCAATTAGATTTTTTTATAACTTATAATTTTAATATTTATTTACAGCTATTTGGAACTATTTAACATTTCTAATATATATATATACAGTCGCCACTGGATATAACGAACCCTCCGTTCCGTAGGATTTGGTTCAGTATAGGATGAGTTCATTATATAATGCTCACTCTATATACCGAACTATTCAGTATATAGAGTTTATTATTAGCATATATATTATAATACTGATTAATAAAATTTTTTCAAATACAAATTATCTTTATTATTATTTCATTCACATGACATGTATTGTAATAAACTAAAAAGTTATCTTTTAGATCATATGATTTTTATCTTGTCACAAAATCCATCCAATCAGCTTTAATTGGCAGATCCTCAAAATCTATCCAATCAACCAAAAATTGGCAGATCTGTAGAATATGCCAAATATGCCATTTATGGCAGATCTGCCAAATCTGCCAGATTGACTAAATCTGCTATG